AGGAGATGCTACAAAACTTCTTGATAATATTATAGCTAATTATTCTCAATGGCACACCAAAAGATCTTCTAGTAAAAAAGTGCATGCTATAGAAGAAATCAATGTTTTGAGTGGAAAGATGGATGAACTTATGAAATTGTTTGCTACTAAAAGTACTCCTCTTGATCCCAATGATATGCCTTTTTCTACTTTGATTGAGAATAATAATGAATCTGTGGATGTGAATTTTGTTGGTAGGAACAGTTTTGGAAACAATGCTTATAGAGGAAACTTTAATGCTAGACCGTTCCCTAGTAATTCCTCTAATAATTATAGAAATTCCTACAATAATTCTTATGGTAATTTTAATAAGATGTCCTCTGATTTTGAGAATAGTGTGAAAGAATTTATGATTTCTCAAAAGAATTTTAATGCTTTGCTTGAATTTTTTTTGCTCAAAGTTGATGATTTGGCTAGGAACATTGATAGACTTTCGCTTGATGTTGATTCTCTTAAACTTAGATCCTCTTCTCCTAAGCATGATATCAATGAGTCTCTCAAAGCAATGAGAATTTCCATTGACGAGTGCAAGGAAAGAACCGCTAGATTGCGTGCTAAAAAAGGTTGCTTTATAAAGGCGTGTTCTTCTAGTTTCCATGAAAATAATGATGAGTATCTTAAAGTTATTGATGCGTCTCCTATTAGATCTTTTTTTTGCAATATGAATCTTGATAATTATGGGACTGAAGATGAGTCAACTTTACCTAGAAGGCGTCCCAAGAATTCGGAGTTTTTAGATCTTGATGCTAAATTTGGTAAAAGTGGGATTGGAGAGGTCATGACTTTAAATAGTATTGAACTCACTATCTCGGATTTCAAGGAATTTAATTATGATAATTGTTCTTTAGAAGGTTGTATGTCCTTGTTGCAATCCGTTGTTAATTCTCCTCATGCTTATAGTCAAAATAAAGCTTTTACCAAACATATCGTTGATGCCTTGATGCAATCTTATGATGAAAAACTTAATTTGGAAGTTTCTATACCTAGAAAACTTAATGATGAGTGGGAACCTACTATAAAGATTAGAATTAAAGATCATGAGTGTTTTGCTTTGTGTGATTTGGGTGCTAGTGTTTCCACGATTCCGAAAACTTTATGTGATATTCTAGGTTTTCATGATCTTGATGATTGCTCTTTAAATTTGCACCTTGCGGGTTCCACCATTAAAAAGCCAATGGGAAGGATCAATGATGTTCTCATTGTTGCAAATATAAATTTGGTGCCCGTAGATTTTATCATTCTTGATATAGATTGCAATCTTTCTTGCCCTATTATTTTTGGTAGACCTTTCCTTAGAACGATTGGTGCGATTATTGATATGAAGGAAGGGAATATTAGATTCCAATTTCTATTAAAGAAAGGCATGGAGCACTTTCAAGAAAGAAAGTCAAATTACCTTATGAATCTATCATGCGAGATACTTATGAATTTAGTGCCAAAGATGGTACTACCTAGATCTATCTTCGCTTTTATGCCTAGCTAGGGCGTTAAACGATAGCGCTAGTTGGGAGGCAACCCAATTTTCTTTGTGTTTTTTGTTTTTGTTCCTGTTTAGTAATAAATTTTGCATCTACCTTCTGTTTAGATATGTTTTTATCTTTTAATTAGTGTTTGTGCCAAGTAGAACCTATAGGATAACCTATGATGATAGTTGATTTGATTCTGCTGAAAAACAGAAACTTTGCGCGCACGAATTTAGTTTTGTTAAATCACAGAAACGTGATTTTGCGTTGATTATTTTTGCTTCTGATCAATATACAAATTTTCCAGGACTTCATATTTTTGTAGGATTTTTAGAGGTCCATAAGTTTGCTTAGTTACAGATTGCTACAGACTGTTCTGTTTTTGACAGGTTCTGTTTTTCGTGTGTTGTTTGCTTATTTTGATGCATCTATGGCTAGTAAAATAGTTTATAAACCATAGAGAAGTTGGAATACAGTAGGTTTAACACCAAAATAAATAAAGAATGAGTTCATTACAATACCTTATATGGTGGTTTTGTTTTCTTTCACTAACAGAGTTTATAAGATTTCCTGTTGAGTTTTGTGTTGTGAAGTTTTTAAGTTTTGGGTAAAGCTTTTATGGACTATGGAATAAGGAGTGGCAAGAGCCTAAGCTTGGGGATGCCCATGGCACCCCAAGATATTCAAGAATAGACAAAAGCCTAAGCTTGGGGCTGCCCCGGGAAGGCATCCCCTCTTTTGTCTTCATTCATTGGTAACTTTACTTGGAGCTATATTTTTATTCGCCACATGATATGTGTTTTGCTTGGAGCGTCGTGTATTATATTAGTCTATGCTTTTTAGTTTACCACAATTATCCTTGCTGTACACACCTTTTGGGAGAAGCCCACTTGATTAGAATTTGCTAGAATATTCTATGTGCTTCACTTATATCTTTTGAGCTTGATAGTTTTTGCTCTAGTGCTTCACTTATATCTTTTAGAGCACGGCGATGGATTAATTTTGAAGAAATTGCTAGTCTCTCATGCTTCACTTATATCTTTTTGAGAGTCTTTTAGAACAGCATGGTATTTGCTATGGTTACAAATTTGGTCCTAGAATGATGAGCATCTAAGTTGGGTATAATAAAAACTATCATAGAAAGTGAATTGGATGCTATGATCAATTTGATGCTTGATAATTGTTTTGAGATATGGAGATAGTGATATTAAAGTCATGCTAGTTGAGGTGATTATAAAAAAATACTTGTGTTGAGGTTTGTGATTCCCGTAGCATGCACGTATGAGGGACCGGGCACCCGGTGTCCAGAGGCCGAGCACCCGGGCCGGTGACCTGTGGCGCTGGAGGGAGGGCCGGGCACCCAGGGCCGGCTGGGAGCAGCGCCATGGAGGGGCCGGGCCTCCGGGGCCAAAGTGCCCGGGCACCCGGGGTGTCTAGAGCCTCTCCTTCTTCTCTCTTCTCGCTTCTCTCCTCTTCTCCTCGACGGTAGGTGCTTGGGTCTTCGTGCTAGCCTCTCCATCATCAACACCTTGAAACCTAATCATGCACAACACCTCCATTTGAGGTAGGACCCAACTCTCGAATGAAATTGAGTGGAGCTCGAAGAGGAAAGAGTTCACCTCGTTCTCGAAGGCGCGTGCACGTGCTCTTGTCCATGGTCCTCACCGTCCTTGTGGTGGTGGTGTGACATTCATGGTGATGGTCAAGGGATGCTCCGCATCACGCCTTTTAACTAAAGTTGACTCATCTCCAGTCCCATCATTATCAAGATTCATATTGCAAAACAAAGATTTAATATACTACTGGAATCAGTTTCTTTGCCGTCCGCCATGGCAGACGGCAAAGGCACCAGTAGACGGCAAAACGTCCGGCTGAACAAGCGACGGCAAAGGGCACTTTGCCGTCTGCTGGCAGACGGCAAAGGTCATGGCTCTTTGCCATTTGCTGGCGGACGGCAAAGACAGGCTCTTTGCCATCTGCTGGCAGACGGCAAAGAGGCCTCTTTGCCATCTGGTGGCAGACGACAAAGACTGCAGGCTCTTTGCCATCTGCTAGCAGGCGGCAAAGACTGCGGGCTCTTTGCCAACAGTGGCATCCGAGCCAGGTCTATGCGTAGACGATATGCACGAGTAGAACACCAAGAGTTGTGGGCGGTGATCATCATACTGCTTGCCACCAATGTCTTATTTTGATTCAACGGTATTGTTGGATGAAGCGGCCCAGACCAACCTTACATGATCATGTTTATTAGACGGGTTTCACTGGACATGACAATTAGAGATTATAGTTGCTCATGTCATGTTTAAGTAGTTAGAAGTGGATAATGATTTATCTTGAGTGTCAACGTGCATTAAAATGGTTATGATGTAGTATGTAGGATGGTATCCTCAGAAGAATTCAAGTGGCCTGACTTGGCACATGTTCACACATGTAGTTGATTTAAAACAAGTGCAGCCTTTATGATATTTATATTAAGAGTGTTTTCGTCCTACTCATGCTCATATTCAATTTTTAAATATTCATAATACATGATTATAACCATTGTCACTCTCACCTTAAGTCAAAGACGACGTTCCTCCCACACAACCGTGGTGTCCAAATCAGGCTGCGTGAAGGAGGAGCCGCCCTCACCGTCGCACAATTGTTATGCCCGGGTCGACGGGCCGGCGTCGTTGCCACGTCGTATGAGGCTGCGGAGCGGCTCCTCCGCGAGCGCTAGGTGCGGCCTAGCAAGGCTGTCGCGCCCCCGCACCCTTTTGCCGCTGGAAGGACTACTCCGATGATGCGGCAGCCAGGGCGGGCACGCGTACAAGGTCACCGTTCGGTACGAGACTAGTCGTGTTTTAAAAATGTTTGTAGCGAAACAGACAAAATATTGTCCGTTTTATGTAAATTGTCCGAACTTTAGTGAATTCCGTCGTGTTTGATGAAATTTGTCCACTTTATTTAAATTTGTTTTAAAATGGATGCGGGCATGGTTGAAGCTTCCGCATCACGTTCCGTAGACGTAGACGGATACGGTGTCCTAAATGCCCTAATACACTATTGTTCACATTGTCCCAATCCGGTCCATGTGCGCACAATCAGCGTCATCATTTGTTTTTTTTGAATATCACCACAGACACAAGCGCTCATATACATGCGCACACAAACGCACATATGCATACCATACTCCTATGAGCGCTTCCAAAAGACAAAGCCGGCATATCATCTTGAGATTTACGAGGATTTGAACCCTGGTGGACTGGAGATACCACAGTCCCTCTAACCATCCAACCACATGTTGGTTCCCGTCACCACTTATTTTTATAATGTTGTTCTTGGCCCATCCTTATCTGATGAGCTCTCCAAAAAGTTTAAGTCAAGCAGGTGTTTATTGCAAAAGAAAGCATTCCACTGGTATCTCAAGAAAATGATTCGCCTTAGTTATGGATCCACTCCAAGTCTTCAATAAAGAAACACGCTAGCCAGATCGAATCTCAAGGGGAAATCTTCGATATGGATCCGGCGTCGGGCGCAATCGACAGCCTGCTCCCAAAGCTGGAGGATCTACTGCTGCTCTGCCGCGGCAAGCTGCGGAAGAAAGCGAGGAAAGAATTGGTTTTTCTGAAAGAGAAGCTGACCGAGATCCAGCTCGCCTTCCGCGAGGTGGAAGACGTGCCGGCGGATCAGCTCAAGTCGGAAGTCAAGGAATGGCTCAGGCAAGCGAGGGCCCTGAGCTACTGCATCGAGCACGTCGTCGACAAGTTCCGGGCTCGTCGGCTCAAGGCGGCCGATCCGCCGGCCGCCGATCTCCACCAACTCATGGGCGAGGTCAGATTCAAGTGGGCGATTGCCAATGCTTCCCGTAAATTCGCCAAGGAGATGGAGATCCAGAGGTACAGGGACCGTATCACGGAGTTGGTAAATCGGCATCTCAAATGGTCCAACCTTGCAGCTCCTCCAAGTCCGAGATCTGGGAATGCCAGTGCCATGGTTGCCAACGACCATGACGGCCCGGTGAACGAGCTTGTTGACATCGATGGCCGAGTGGAGGTGCTAGTCAGCAAGATCATCCTGGCAGTGGAGGAGGGGGAGGGGCAGCTCAAGATTGCTTCAATTCTTGGAGCTGCAGGCGTGGGCAAGACAACACTTGTGAACCAGGTGTACCAGAGGGTTAACTCGCGATTCGAGTGTTCAGCTTGGGTCACTGTGTCTAAGGAGCCTGGCATCAAAAATGTTTTGTGGACAATCCTCTGTCAGATAAGCCCACAAGATTATGCCAGTTTTGGGTCGCTCAATGTAGAAGAAACCATCGCTGGGATCAGGAAAGCCCTCAACAATAAGAGGTATATTACCATCGACTTGTCCATTTGCATATTGTTTTCCAAAATAAGCTACCCAAGCGCATATAATTAACCAAAAGTAGCTCAACCTAAAGGAGCTATCGTTAGTGATAACCCACTAATAATCCATCGATTTATTTCCACAAAAGAAAAATCCATAGTTTCTGTAAAGTAGATACTTGCATATTTGTATCGACAACACCTCAAAGGTGGGTTATTAGAATCTAACGGAAATTTTACATTGGCAAGGTTGTGTGGTTCTCAGCTCAACTTCATACACATATATAACTTCCGGACACATTATTCTGTAGGTACTTCATTGTAGTTGAAGACTTGTGGGATATTAATGCACGGGAAACTATCAATCGTGCTTTGATTGAAAATAGCAAAGGCAGTGCAGTCCTATTGACAAGCCACAAAGTTTCTGTCGCCCGTTATGCTGGTGTTAAGATTTATCGATTAAGACCTCTTTCAGAAAATTCCTCTAGAAAATTATTCTACAAAAGATTATTTGGTGCACGAGACAACTGTCCTCCTGAGTTGGTAGACATATCTGAAAAGATAGTAAAAAAATGCAGTGGTATACCATCAGCCATCATCAATGCAGCCAACTTGCTAGCAAGTAAGTGTATGACAAAGCAAGACTGGTATACAGTGCTTGAATCCATTTATTCAGAAGATTCGTATGCTGTGAGAAGCAGACATCTCTCTTACACTGGTGTACCTGACCATCTCAAATCTTGCTTGTTATATTTAAGCATGTTTCAGAAGGGTTATGAGATCAGTGTGGACCGCTTGGTATCAGGTTGGATTGCTGAGGGTTACATTCCTGAAAAAGCCAATGTGACTCAGCAGCAACAAGGAGAAGAAAATGTCAGTGAGCTCATGGAGAGAAAGTTAATTGAAGCAGTGGAGGTTGATGCAGATGGAAAGGCTCTATCTTGCCGTGTGAACACTATGGGGCATGAGGTGATCGTCTCATTGTCAGCAGAAGAAAACTCGGTTATCATATTAAATAAACAGGAAAGCCAGCCTTTACCACAAACAGTTGGCCGGCTAGCCATCCAGGGCCAGGGACACAATGTAAACCTGCCACAAGACCAAATATCCATTGTGAGATCACTTATTGCCTCTGACGATGCCAATTTGTTGAACCTTGAAAGCAGCTGTTGTAATGTGATGCCATTCCTCTCAAACTTTGTGAATTTACGTGTCTTAGAGTTAGGGGGCTGTAGTTCATTGCAGAATGACCATCTCAAGTGCATCAAGAGTTTGCTTCTTTTGAGATATCTGGTAATAGGAGGCGATCATATAACTGACATCCCGAAACATATTGGCCATCTAAAATATTTGCAAACCCTGGATTTAAGGGCAACTGGTGTGAAAGAATTGCCTGGGACTATTGTTCGGGCTAGGCAATTGAAATGTCTGCGTGTTAATAGACACACCAAGATGCCTCCTGGGATCGGAAAAATGGAAGCTTTGCAAGAGCTAGGAGACATGAATATCAGCAACGCGGAGTTGCTAAGAGAGCTAAGCGGCCTGACCAACTTGAAGATTCTTAGAATTGTCATATGGTCCTGGGATGATGGTTATAATGATGCACTACTCAGTTATCTAGGCTCGCCAAGCATGCAAAAGTTGAAGAGCCTATCTATTTTTACTTGCTGCTCCCTACATATCTTCGAAGAGTGGAAGGCTGAACAGGCCCCTCGGAGCCTCCAAAAGCTTGAGATAAGGCACAGCTCATTCCTTTCATTGCCAGGATGGATCTGCTCACTTGAGAACCTCTCCTCTTTATCCATCGAGGTCTACAAGCTATCACAGGAGATCATTGGTATGCTTGGGAAATTGCAGAATCTTCTTGCCCTCTCGCTGAAATCAAAGCAAGCCCCAGAAGGCAACTTCAGTGATGGGTTCCCGAAGTTAACAAGCTTCCACTTTGCGACTAATGCTCTAGGGAGGATATTTGGACCAGGAGCTATGCTCAGCCTTAAAAGGCTTGATCTTTCATTTCAAGCATCACGTACTGAAGATGCGAATCATGATTTCGATTTTGGATTGGGGAACCTGTCTTCCCTGGAGCATACACGTGTTGAAATAGTATGTTTCAGTGCCAATCTTCAGATGGTAAAGAAAGCAAATGGTGCTATTAGGGAGGCTATATACAGATCTCGCAGCCGTGGGTCAGTAATTGAAATTGTCGTAGTGAATGAGGTAATTCTTATTTTTGAATATGTTCATGAATAATGACAACATCCCCAATTCTCAGTGACTTGTCCTGCCCTTCTAGTTTAGTTGTTAAATAAGTTTGTTTTTGTTCATCTATCAGTTTAACTGGCGGACACTAATATAGCTGGTTCTCTTCCAGATGCAAAACCAACAGCAGTCATCATCAGGGGGACACAATGAGCAGACAGGAAGTGAAACTAATTTGCACTCTCCTGATCGGGTAGAGCATGGCACTGTCCAGCAAAATCAACCTAGTGCCCAACTCCATCCTGTTGATAACCTCAAGCAGCACCAGTCTAATCTATCTCCTCATCAATCTTCTTTGCAAGCTGGACATGGTCATGTTGACGCACACGTGAATATTCTTGTGAGTCATCTTCTTCATTTCGTATTTGCACTCTAATTTTACACGGGAAATGTAGCATGAAAACTTTCATCATGACTTTGAAAAATAGCATGCACTATAATTTTACAGTAAATACTGTGTGCACTGTATTCATTATTTCTTCAACTGTGCACAATGTCTGCAACAAACAGCTGGTTTAATTAATACTAGTACAAAACAGGTGCAGTCTTGCTATACTTATTAATTTCATTGTCCTGGTGGTATATTTTGTGTTTCAGCCAAGCAGCCGTGTGAAGTTTTGTGATGAGTGCGGCTCCCAATATTTGAAGGCGACATCCAAGTTCTGCTCAGAGTGTGGCACCGAGAGGCCAGGGATCTGATTGATGCATAATATAAGGATATCGTGCGTTTTGTCTAGCTGGGCAGGGATTCTGGACGGTGCTAATTGTGCAATTTGTAATTGTTCGGCACCTGAAAAAGGGAAAAGTCTTTGCTTGGCATATGGTAACTCCGCCTATGTTGTCTCAACATAGCCGGTCCCAAGCCCGGGTAAAGGAGGAGGGTTGTGATAGGCTTGGCGAGCCAACGTAAAAACTCAGCCACTCTTATGGAGATGAAACCCAAAAGATTTTCGTTGGGGCGTAACCCTCTCAGCGACGCGCCACATCGGAACCCGGATGTGGTGGAAAATGGGCAAGGGCCGGGCCGTCACCCCCCAAGTGGCGCGCCGTATCTTGATCCGGATACGGTGGCAAGTGAGCGAGGATCGGGTCGTCGCATCCTTAGTGGCGCGCTACATCGGCGCCCGGATGTAGTGGAAAATGAGCAAGGGTCTTCGCATTTGACTCAACGAGTGCGAAGGGTAAGGAAGCTAGCCGAGCCTAGGAGGATTCGCTTAGATAGCTGGAACGTAGGGTCTCTAACAGGGAAGCTTCGGGAGCTAGTTGATGCAGCAGTGAGGAGAGGTGTTGATATCCTTTGCGTCCAAGAAACCAAATGGAGAGGACAGAAGGCGAAGGAGGTGGAGGATACCGGCTAAGGTACACGGGGACGGCTGCAAACAGAAATGGCGTAGGCATCTTGATCAACAAGAGCCTCAAGTATGGAGTGGTAGACGTCAGGAGACGTGGGGACCGGATTATCCTGGTCAAGCTGGTAGCTGAGGACTTGGTTCTCAATGTTATCAGCGCATATGCCCCGCAAGTAGGCCACAATGAGAACACCAAGAGGGAGTTCTGGGAAGGCTTGGAAGACATGGTTAGGAGTGTACCGATTGGTGAGAAGCTCTTCATAGGAGGAGACCTCAATGGCCACGTGGGTACATCTAACACAGGTTTTGAAGGGGTGCATGGGGGCTTTGGCTATGGCATCAGGAATCAAGAAGGAGAAGATGTCTTAAGCTTTACTCTAGCCTACAACATGATTGTAGCTAACACCCTCTTTAGAAAGAGAGAATCACATCTGGTGACTTTTAGTAGTGGCCAACACTCTAGCCAGATTGATTTCATCCTCTCGAGAAGAGAAGATAGACGTGCGTGCCTAGACTGTAAGGTGATACTTGGGGAGAGTGTTGTACCCCAGCATAAGCTGGTGGTTGCTGACTTCCGCTTTCGGATTCGTGTCCAGCGGGATAAGCGTGCCAAGGTCGCTAGAACGAAGTGGTGGAAGCTCAAGGGGGAGGTAGCTCAGGTGTTCAAGGAGAGGGTATTTAAGGAGGGCCCTTGGGAGGAAGGAGGGGATGCGGACAATGTGTGGATGAAGATGGCGACTTGCATTCGTAAGGTGGCCTCGGAGGAGTTTGGAGTGTCCAGGGGAAGGAGAAGCGAAGATAAGGATACCTGGTGGTGGAATGATGATGTCCAGAAGGCGCTTAAAGAGAAGAAAGATTGCTTCAGACGCCTATACCTGGATAGGAGTGCAGACAACATAGAGAAGTACAAGATGGCGAAGAAGGCCGCAAAGCGAGCTGTTGGTGAAGCAAGGGGTCGGGCATATGAGGACCTCTACCAACGGTTAGGCACGAAGGAAGGTGAAAGGGACATCTATAAGATGGCTAAGATCCGGGAGAGGAAGACGAGGGATATTGGCCAAGTCAAATGCATCAAGGACGGAGCAGGCCAACTCTTGGTGAAGGACGAAGAGATTAAGCATAGATGGCGGGAGTACTTCGACAAGCTGTTCAATGGGGAGAATGAGAGTTCTACCATTGAACTGAATGACTCCTTTGATGAGACCAGCATGCGTTTTGTGTGGCGCATCCAGGAGTCTGAGGTGAAGGAGGCTTTAAAAAGGATGAAAGGAGGCAAGGCGATGGGCCCTGATTGTATCCCCATTGAGGTGTGGAAAGGTCTCGGGGACATAGCGATAGTATGGCTAACCAAGCTTTTCAACCTCATTTTTCGGGCAAACAAGATGCCAGAAGAATGGAGACGGAGTATATTAGTACCAATCTTCAAGAACAAGGGGGATGTTCAGAGTTGTACTAATTACCGTGGAATTAAGCTGATGAGCCATACAATGAAGCTATGGGAGAGAGTCATTGAGCATGGCTTAAGAAGAATGACAAGCGTGACCAAAAATCAGTTTGGTTTCATGCCTGGGAGGTCGACCATGGAAGCCATTTTCTTGGTACGACAACTTATGGAGAGATATAGGGAGCATAAGAAGGACTTGCATATGGTGTTCATTGACTTGGAGAAGGCCTATGATAAGATACCGCGGAATGTCATGTGGTGGGCCTTGGAGAAACACAAAGTCCCAGCAAAGTACATTACCCTCATCAAGGACATGTACAATAATGTTGTGACAAGTGTTCGAACAAGTGATGTCGACACCGATGACTTCCCGATTAAGATAGGACTGCATCAGGGGTCAGCTTTGAGCCCTTATCTTTTTGCATTGGTGATGGATGAGGTCACAAGGGGTATACAAGGAGATATCCCATGGTGTATGCTCTTTGCGGATGATGTGGTGCTAGTTGACGATAGTCGGACGGGGGTAAATAGGAAGTTAGAGTTATGGAGACAAACCTTGGAATCGAAAGGGTTTAGGCTTAGTAGAACTAAAACCGAGTACATGATGTGCGGTTTCAGTACTACTAGCTATGAGGAGGAGGAGGTTAGCCTTGATGGCCAGGTGGTACCTCGAAAGGACACCTTTCGGTATTTGGGGTCAATGTTGCAGGAGGATGGGGGTATTGATGAAGATGTGTACCATCGAATCAAAGCCGGATGGATGAAGTGGCTCCAAGCTTCTGGCATTCTCTGTGACAAGAGAGTGCCACAAAAGCTAAAAGGCAAGTTCTACAGGACGGCGGTTCGACCCGCAATGTTGTATGGCGCGGAGTGTTGGCCGACTAAAAGGCGACATGTTCAACAGTTAGGTGTGGCGGAGATGCGTATGTTGAGATGGATGTGTGGCCACACGAGGAAGGATCGAGTCCGGAATGATGATATACGAGATAGAGTTGGGGTAGCACCAATTGAGGAGAAGCTTGTCCAACATCATTTGAGATGGTTTGGGCATATTCAGCGCAGGCCTCCAGAAGCTCCAGTGCATAGCGGACGGCTAAAGCGTGCGGAGAATGTCAAGAGAGGGCGGGGTCGACCGATTTTGACATGAGAGGAGTCCGTTAAGAGAGACCTGAAGGATTGGAGTATCGACAAAGAGCTAGCTATGGACAAGGGTGCGTGGAAGCTTGCTATCCATGTGCCAGAGCCATGAGTTGGTTGCGAGATCTTATGGGTTTCACCTCTAGCCTACCCCAACTTGTTTGGGACTAAAGGCTTTGTTGTTGTTGTTGTTGCTTTGGCATATGGTCAGACAGAGGATTAAGTCAGGGCTGTTCTTGTCAAACAACAAATCCTGGACAGTGGCCATTTGTCCCTTCGGTTGTAGCAAAGCAATGTGCATAGTTAAGGATTTTGTTGCTGCCAGTAGCAGGCGTTGTGCATAATTAAACCTAGAAGTGTGCGTTTGATTGTTGTAACTGAACTTAGGTGTTGAGCTCATTTGCTTCACTTTCAATGATTTTTATAACTGAACTTAGGTGTAGACATGCTCGATTGTGGATGGCGTGCGCGTGTACATTATTGTTGTGCCTTACAATGTTAGAGCATCTCCAGTAGCTTGTTCAAATGATTGTCTAGACAGTTGTGCTTTTTTTGAGAGAGAGAGAGAGAAAGGTTATTTGTTATTTGTTTTTTTTTTTGAATTGGAGAAAGGTTGAGAGTTGGGGTATGCCCAACATCCTCAGTTATGCGGCAAACTGGCAAAGCTTGGCACAGGCTTCGAACCAACGGGCCGGCCCAGGTAGCCAACCCTGCAAAGCGATTTTTTTTAGAGAAAACAATTCGCGCTTCGCGCTGGGCTCGAACTCGCGACGCTGACTCGTCTATTCAGGAACCATGCCGCTGGAGCTGAACACCTTCTGTGACAATTATGCAGCGCAATCTTTTAAGTAGCGGGACTCGCATAAAATTCCTAAAAAAGATGGACTCATAAGGTTTCGAAATCAGCACCTCCTGTGGTCAAGAAGTGGTTCATAACCACTGCAATACATAATTTTGCTGTTTAAATGTTGCAGCGTCGCTTATAATAACTGTAAAAGGAGACAGATCTATTTCTTCTTTTGAGAATTTCGAATGCGTTATTATTTAGGAAAGCGAATATTTAATGAATAAAAAATATTTCGAAATTGTGAACAAATTTACAAAGTTGGAAATATTAGAAAAGCGAACATTTTGTGGAAGAGTCAAAAAAAATTCAATCTTGAACAAATTTTATAAAAGAGGGAAATTTTTGAACAAATTTGAAAACATTAAACATTTTTCCAAAACATGAACATTTTTCGAATAAATGGAACATTTAGTGAAACTCTGAACAAAAATCATAAATGCGAACAATTTTTGCATATGTGAACAATTTATGAAACTGTGAGCAAAATAAGGGAGGGGCAAGCTTTTTATGAATATCATGAACTTTCTTTCAGTTTGTGAACAAAATTCAAGAAACCAGGAAATTTTCTGAACTTTTGAACACTTTTGTAAACCCCGAACAAATATGTAGAAACAATATTTTTCGAATCCCGAACATATTTTCCAATTGTGAACACTTTTAGAACATGCGAACATTTATTTAACAATGTGAAAAAAACTCAAATTTATTTTTTTTATAAAAGAGAACAAAATTCGAAAAAAGTGACCATTTCTTGAAAATTTGGAAACCCCTTGAACAATTTTGAAACCTGAACATTTTTTGAAATTCCCAAACGATTTTTAACCAGTGAACAAAATTTGAATAACAGGAACAATTTTTGGGATTCAAAAAAATTTCAAACCACAAATATTTTTGGAAAACTCCTAACATATTTTGAATTTGT